TCGAATCTGATCCAGTACGGCTTCGACATGCTTTAAATGCTCCCCCCAGGTTTCGCTATAGATCGCAATGTCATCCAGGTACGCGCAAGCGAAATCCTGGAAGCCATCAAGGAGGCGGTCCACTAAGCGCTGGAATGTAGCCGGGGCGTTTTTCATCCCAAATGGCATGACTTTGAACTGGTACAAGCCAAATGGGGTGACAAAGGCTGACTTAGGGATAGCCTCCTTGTCCAGGGGGATCTGCCAATATCCTTTGCACAAATCGATGGTGGTCAGATAACGTCCCCTGGCAATGCGATCTAATAGCTCGTCTACTTGGGGCATGGGGTAGGCGTCTGTCACGGTTCTGTCATTGAGACGCCGATAATCGACACAGAACCGAGTGGTTCCGTCCTTCTTGGGAACTAGAACCACCGGGGAGGCCCACGGACTGTCCGAGGGCTCTATCACCCCCAGTCTTAACATTTCTTGGATCTCCTTCCTCATCTCCTCTTTTACTGCCTCAGGGATCCTATAGGGGGTTTGTCGGAGAGGGGTTTGTCCTGGGGTCTCTACATAGTGGGTTGCTAAGGGGGTGTACCCGGGCTCTTGGGAAAACGTCAACCCTTTCTCAGTCAGCAGCTGTCGGATCTGTCCCTTTTCGGCGGGAGTTAACCGCTCCCCTAGCTGTACGGTATTGAGGAGGGTTTTAGGTTCTGGGTTAGCTAATAGGTCGGGTATGGGTAAGCTGTCCGGGTCTTCGGCAGCGGGTATGCATATGGCGGCTATATCCTCGGGTCTTTCCTGATATTCCTTTAGTAGATTTACATGAAAGGACTTCCGGATCCTTTCATCTTTGTTGCTGGCGATTACGTAGGTGGTGTCACAGACTTGTGCTACCACTTTGTAAGGGCCCTGCCAGGAGGTCTGGAGCTTATTCCCTTTGACAGGTCTAAGTACCAGCACCTTCTGGCCTACTTGGAAGGTTCTCTGGCGGGCGCCCTGATCGTACCAACGTTTCTGGTGCCCTTGGGCCGCATGGAGGTGGTCCCGTGCCATCCGGGCTAACTGTTCCATACGGTCCCGCATTTCTAATACGTATGGTACGATGGGTACCCCGTCGTGTTCTGTCTCCCCCTCCCAGTGCTCCCGGATGAGGTCGAGAGGTCCTCGTACTCTCCGGCCATAGAGCAGTTCAAAGGGAGAGAACCCTGTGGATTCCTGCGGCACCTCCCGATAAGCGAACAGGAGGTGCGGCAAGAATCGTTCCCAGTCTCTGTATTCCGCTGTAAAGGTCCTCAGCAATTGCTTTAGGGTACCGTTAAAGCGTTCACAGAGACCGTTAGTCTGCGGGTGGTACGGGGAACTAAGCAGGGACTTAATACCACAGACCTTCCACAGCTGTTGGGTTAGGTCTGCGGTAAACTGGGTCCCTCTGTCGGACAGGATTTCCTGGGGGAATCCCACTCGGGTGAATATCCCGACTAGAGCACTGGCGACAGTGTCAGCCTGGATATTCGTCAGAGCGACGGCTTCTGGGTAGCGAGTCGCATAGTCCACCACGGTAAGGATGTATTTCTTACCAGAGGGACTGGGGTTAGGTAGAGGTCCCACTAGGTCGACTGCTACCCTGCTAAATGGTTCCTCGATCACAGGCATAGGTAGCAGTCGAGCTTTAGGGTGATCCCCTCTCTTCCCTACCCGTTGGCATACGTCACAAGTACTGCAGTAACGTCGCACATCCTTCGAGATTCCCGGCCAAAAGAAGGTCTGGGTGATCCTGAAGGTGGTGCGGTTACCCCCTAGATGTCCTGCCAACGGAATGTCGTGGCCAATTCGGAGAAGTTCCAACCGGTACTTTTTGGGTACCACCAGTTGGCGCTTCTGCGAAGGGGCACAGCCTCTCTTTCTGCCTTCAGTCAGTCTGTATAACCTGTCCCCATCCCATAGAAAACTTTCCCGTCCGTCCCCCCCATGGTCAGCTAATTCTCGATACTTTTGGAGGGTGGGGTCCTCTCTAGTTTCCCTCCCAAACTCCTCTGGGGTGTCCCAAGCTATGGGCCTGCCTATCGTAGTGGGGTGACATGTGGGTGCTTGGCTTACCTGGGTCTCCCGGCCTGTATTAGGATCATCTGCGACACGGGACTGTGAACGGGTGGTTACGGGACAGGCGGCAGCAGGTGTGGGCAAATATGCTGAAGTTAAAGGTCCAATGTCATTTCCCAATACGACCTCGGCAGGCAAGTTGTCCATAATGCCGACGGTGGTTTTTCCTGATCCAACTCCCCAATCTAAGTGTACTCGGGCAGTGGGCAAGCGAAAAACAGCGCCCCCTGCGACCCGAACAGCAACAGTGCGGGTAGACACATCCTCCGGCTTCACTAGGTGTTTTTGGATCAAAGTGATGGTAGCCCCGGTGTCTCTTAGGCCTTGTGCTGTTTGTCCATTCACCTTAACCTCCTGTCGGTGATGTTGTCGATTGTCTGGGGAAGCAGCTTGTATGGGGTCTGCTTCATACAAAATCCCCAGACATTCTTCAGGGCCCATTTCGGCTTCCAGACAGTGAGCCGCCGCGGGTCGTGCTGCAGGGGCCTCGGTGCTGGGAGTTGTGCGCCTCCAGTTGTTGTTACTGGATCTTAGGGGACAATACCGGGCAATATGTCCGAGGTTGCTGCAGTGATGGCACGTCACCTTTGACAAATCCCGGGGGTAGTTAGTAGGCCCCTGAGGCCGGGGTGGTCCTGGTGGGACTGGAGCTCGAAATTCTGGGCGTGAGACAGCGGCTGGGGCACGTGGCTCTATTTTGTGAGCTTGTCGGGTAGTACCCTGGCTTACTTTCCTTGTCTCGGCATATTCGTCGGCCAGCCGAGCCGCCTCCTTTAAATTGGCGGGGCGCCGATCTCGTACCCAGTCTTGTATGTCCGCCGCCAAATCTTGGAAGAAATGTTCCATTAAGAACAACTGTAACACCTCCTCACCCGTGTGGGCTTTGCATCCTTGGACCCAGTGAGATGCTACTCTCTGTAGTCGGTTTGCCCATTCCATGTGGGAGTCCACAGCTTTCTTTTTGGACTCCCGAAAGCGACGACGGTAGGCTTCTGGGGTTACCGCATACCTGGTGAGCAGTGCCTCTTTTACTTTTTGGTACTGCGTGATTTCCTCTGTAGTGAGTGCTCGGAACGCCTCATTAGCTTTCCCTGACAGTTTTCCCGCCAGGATAGTGACCCATTGCTCTGGCGGTATGTGATGTAGTGAGCACTGTCTTTCAAAGTCAGCCAAATATCCATCAATTTCCTCGTCATGTTCTACAAAGGCTTTAAATGCAGTAAAGGGAATTTTCGTTACCGTAGTAGTGGGTAGCGGGGTAGGAACTGTCTGGGTAGTGAGCTGTCGGGCTCTTACCAGTTCCGTTTCTTGTTCCCTCTTGGTTTGTATTTCTTCCCTTGCTTCCCGGAACAGTTGGGTTATTAGTTCTGTAGACGTGACTGGATACAAAGCTAACCTCCGCTGCACAATTGCAGTAATCACATCGTCCTCACTGATGGGTGCCATGGGTTCAGTTACCTCCATGGACCTGTCCATCTCGTCCAGCTCCAGCAAGTCAGCTATCAGCTCCCTCCGTGGTCTGTTGCTGGCACTCCTACCACGATTCTCCAACAGATCCTTTAGTGTGGGTCTTTTCAGCTTCGCATACTGTGACTCCATTCAGTGCTTGCTTGTTGGATAAAAGGACCATCCCACCGCTTGCCACCAATGTAACGGCTACCCTGGTAGAGAGAGGGTATCGGCCGTTGGAGACGTCCTTTTTCCCTGCAAGCTGCTGTGGAGAAGTAAGCTGGTATAATCCCATTCACGATATCCAGAGTAAAAGTCAGGTTCAGCTGTAGCAGGAGCAGAATAACATTCCCAAATAATCCCCTTCCAAGAACGAGACAAGGCTACGTTTTGCAGGGTCAAGAAGATCTGAGGTCTGGGAAACCCAGCCTGCTTTTTATTAGGAACAAGTACACACAGGACACTCCCAGGGGGAGGATGAAAATAACCAATTACACACAGGGTAACACCCCCACGTCTCCTCCCCTCAGATAAACATATAACATAATTATAACGTACCTAAATTTACCCACATTCTGGATGTACCCCAAAAACAGGGGGTACACCTTTAAGTCCAGCACCGCTTAATAGCTACCACTCAGGGGAATAACATATTCAAATTTCAAGTCATTCGGTTGTGGGGTTCGGGAGTTATGGGTCTTTGAAGTTTTGACCGACCGCACAGGATTTTCAGCCGAAAAGAGTTCCACAAGTTTTGGCCTTGCGGTCGGTCCCCGTTCGTGAATAAAAACCCCACGAACCCCTTGCCCTCCACAGTAATCCTGCCGTTCGCCTGAATCCCCATGCATGCTTAAACAAAACTACCGAACGGCCGGTCGTTCGGTAGTTTCAGCACGAACTTACGAGCTCCTGGAGGTCTCAGCGGTGTTCGCCTGTTTGCGTATCCGTTTTTAGTTCCATGCGTTCACAGGCAAACACCGCCGTTCGTGCGTAAGATGGCCGCGAACACGTGTAAAGTCCCCAAATGGCGGCCACCTATTCTCAGACAAAGGGATTCGTCTGAACCAGGCGAACGGCTGTATTCTCCAGTAATGATATTCCCTTGCAATGATTTCGCCATTTTCACTGTTTTAGTCCACAGGGCTTTGGTGCTGGTGAAGTCCTGTTACAGCGATCTTGATGTGAATTTTATCTGGATTCTGATTGTCTGAAAGCAACCTCAGCCGGTTAAAACATAAACATATATGGAGTAATAGGAGGGGTTATAGGAAGGGTTATATGGAGTAATAGGAGGGGTTATAGGGAGGGTTATATGGAGTAATAGGAGGGATTATAGGAAGGGTTATATGGAGTAATAGGAGGAGTTATAGGGAGGGTTATATGGAGTAATAGGAGGGGTTATAGGGAGGGTTATAGGGAGTAATAGGAGGAGTTATAGGGAGAGGTTATATGGAGTAATAGGGGGGGTTATAGGGAGGGTTATAGGGAGTAATAGGAGGAGTTATAGGGAGGGTTATATGGAGTAATAGGAGGGGTTATAGGGAGGGTTATATGGAGTAATAGGAGGAGTTATAGGGAGGGTTATATGGAGTAATAGGAGGGGTTATAGGAAGGGTTATATGGAGTAATAGGAGGAGTTATAGGGAGGGTTATATGGAGTAATAGGAGGGGTTATAGGAAGGGTTATATGGAGTAATAGGAGGGGTTATAGGGAGGGTTATATGGAGTAATAGGAGGGGTTATAGGGAGGGTTATATGGAGTAATAGAAGGGGTTATAGGGAGGGTTATATGGAGTAATAGGAGGGGTTATAGGGAGGGTTATATGGAGTAATAGGAGGGGATCCTCTGAATGCGAAGCAGCTTTCTTCACATTTCAGAGATTGTCGTACCCTACTGACAGATCGCACTCAGACTGCCTGTATACATAATTACACATTAAAAATACATTTATTTATGGGCACTGAGTTTTCTCATTTAATGAGAATAAAAACTAAACATTGCGTTGGATATTCAAAGGAGAAACATTTTGTTTTATTTTATTTTCATGCAGAACCGGATCATAAGGCTGTAGGGACTCGTTGATAATGTTTTGCTGAATGATCTGGCATTTTAGGGGTTAAGGCAATTTGATCGGGATATAAAAACACTTTACAATACAGTAAGACATCTTCAAACTGCATTCACAGCCAGCGGCACGGACTCTCAGGGTAGAGAGTGGGGTGGGGGACTATATAGTACAAAATATGAAATAGGACAGCAAAGAGCGGAGAGGTGGAGAGCGAGGGAATGAGCAAGTAGGGCACAGAGAGAAAACATACAATGTACGAGAGAGAGGGGAGGAACGAAACAGAGAGAATGGGAGGAATAGAGAGACAGGCAGGAGGAATAAAGTAAGGAGAAATTCTCATAGAGATAGATAAAGGAAGAGAAAGAGTGTGAACGAGGATGATGGACAGAGAGAGGATGAGAGGAGAGAGACAGAGAGAAAGGGAGACTGATAGAGATAGAGAGAGAAAGAGAGAGGGAACTGAAGAAGCTGACAGAGAGAGAGGGAGAGTGATAGATTGAGACTGATAAAGAGAGAGAGATGGAGAGACTGAGAGATGGAAAGAGACGGATAGAGAGAGATGGAGAGAGTAGGAGAGATTGACAGAGAGAGGGAGAGTGATAGAGAGAGATGGAGAGAAAGAGATAGGGGTGAATGTGTAAAGATGATAGAAAGCAGTATAGAGATCATGTGAATAATGGGAACAGTAGAGAGATCGTGTGAATAACGGGAGCAGTAGAGAGATCGTGTGATTAACGGGAGCAGTAGAGAGATCGTGTGAATAACGGGAGCAGTAGAGAGATCATGTGAATAACGGGAGCAGTAGAGAGATCGTGTGAATAACGGGAGCAGTAGAGAGATCATGTGAATAACGGGAGCAGTAGAGAGATCATGTGAATAATGGGAGCGGTAGAGAGATCGTGTGAATAACGGGAGCGGTAGAGAGATCGTGTGAATAATGGGAGCGGTAGAGAGATCGTGTGAATAACGGGAGCAGTAGAGAGATCGTGTGAATAACGGGAGCAGTAGAGAGATCGTGTGAATAACGGGAGCAGTAGAGAGATCGCAGGAATAACGGGAGTTGTGCAGAGAGATCGCAGAATAATGGTATCGCGAATAACGGATGGTAGAGAGATCGTGAATAACGAGCAGTAGAGACTGGGCGTGAATAACGGAGCAGCAGTAGAGAGATCATGTGAATAACGGAGCAGTAGAGAGATCGTGTGAATAACGGAGCAGTAGAGAGATCATGTGAATAACGGAGCGGTAGAGAGACTGGGCGTGAATAACGGAGCAGTAGAGAGATCTGCACAACGGGAGCAGTAGAGAGATCATGAATAACGGGAGCAGTAGAGAGATCATGTGAATAACGGGAGCAGTAGAGAGATCATGTGAATAACGGGAGCAGTAGAGAGATCGTGTGAATAACGGGAGCAGTAGAGAGATCATGTGAATAACGGGAGCAGTAGAGAGATCATGTGAATAACGGGAGCAGTAGAGAGATCATGTGAATAACGGGAGCAGTAGAGAGATCATGTGAATAACGGGAGCAGTAGAGAGATCGTGTGAATAACGGGAGCAGTAGAGAGATCATGTGAATAACGGGAGCAGTAGAGAGATCGTGTGAATAACGGGAGCAGTAGAGAGATTGTGTGAAGCTCAGCCAGTGATTGTATTAGATATTCATTGTGACACTATAGCGGTGACAGCTGTCATTGAGTCGCTGCTGACACCGATTTGGCATAACAGAAGATGACGTCTTAATAATGCTTTTGTGATCCGCTGACCCGTGATGTTTTCTTATCACACAATCTCTCGGCAAGTCCCCTGGAGGCTATGAATTTACCTCCGAGTCAGCACTTCTGCTCAGGCAGGAAATCAGCCACAATGTCTTTATGTGGACGTTCTATGACGTGTCCCAAATTATCCTCACATTGCCCAAACAATGGGCTGTTAACCCTACCGGCATTACTTGTCTCCTCTGATCCAATGAGTTAAAATATCAGCAAGCTTCGTTCTGCCACGAGCCGGCTTTACATGTAGAAGAAGGCGGATTAGTATGTGTAGTATTTGTCCATAGACAGCCTCCTCCTGTTTGCTTTCACACTGAATCAACTCTCACCAGGCAGACAGCAAGCCATCACAATATAAAAGCTTAATCGCCCTCCTTTCAGGTTATTTAAAACATCCTAGAGCACCAGCCGATGTGAAAATATATATCTCACCCATACTTCTGCAATTCCAGTGCAACTTGGCAGGAGGCTGCGTATTGTGATAGAGATCAGACAGTGTATTGTACAGTATGGGGGAGATCAGACCCTGTATTGTACAGTGTGGGGGGAGATCAGACTCTGTATTGTACAGTATGGGGGAGATCAGACCCTGTATTGTACAGTGTGGGGAGATCAGACTCTGTATTGTACAGTGTGGGCGAGATCAGACCCTGTATTGTACAATATGGGGGGTAAATCAGACGCTGTATTGCACAGTGTGGGGGAGATCAGACTCTGTATTGTACGGTGTGGGGGAGATCAGACCCTGTATTGTACATTGTGGTGAAAATCAGACCCTGTATTGCACAGTGTGGGGGAGATCAGACTCTGTATTGCACAGTGTGGGGGAGATCAGACCCTGTATTGCACAGTGTGGGGGAGATTAGACTCTGTATTGTACAGACTGGGGGAGATCAGACTATGTATTCTACAGTGTGGGGGAGATCAGACTCTGTATTGTACAGCGTGGGAGAGATCAGACTCTGTATTGTACAGTGTGGGCGAGATCAGACCCTGTATTGTACAATATGGGGGGGAAATCAGACGCTGTATTGCACAGTGTGGGTGAGATCAGACCCTGTATTGCACAGTGTGGGGGAGATCAGACCCTGTATTGCACAGTGTGGGGGGATCAGACTCTGTATTGTACAGTATGGTGGGAGATCAAACCCTGTATTGCACAGTGTGGGGGAGATCAGACTCTGTATTGTACGGTGTGGGGGAGATCAGACCCTGTATTGTACATTGTGGTGAAAATCAGACCATGTATTGCACAGTGTGGGGGAGATCAGACCCTGTATTGCACAGTGTGGGGGAGATCAGACTCTGTATTGTACAGACTGGGGGAGATCAGACTATGTATTCTACAGTGTGGGGGAGATCAGACTCTGTATTGTACAGCGTGGGAGAGATCAGACTCTGTATTGTACAGTATGGGGGAGATCAGACTCTGTATTCTACAGTGTGGGGGAGATCAGACCCTGTATTGTACAGTATGGGGGAGATCAGACCCTGTATTGCACAGTGTGGGTGAGATCAGACCCTGTATTGCACAGTGTGGGGGAGATCAGACCCTGTAATGCACAGTGTGGGGGGATCAGACTCTGTATTGTACAGTATGGGGGAGATCAGACCCTGTATTGTACAGTGTGGGGGGATCAGACTCTGTATTGTACAGTATGGGGAGATCAGATTGTGTATTGTACAGTATGGGGGAGATCAGACTCTGTGTTGTACAGTATGGGGAGATCAGATTGTGTATTGTACAGTATGGGGGAGATCAGACCCTGTATTGTACAGTATGGGGGAGATCAGACCCTGTATTGTACAGTGTGGGGAGATCAAACTCTGTATTGTACAGTGTGGGGGAGATCAGACTCTGTATTGTTACTGAGTTAGCTTAGTGTGAGTCTGAGTACTGACTGCTTTGCTCTCCACTGCCACAGAAATATCTTATAATTTTTCAGAATTGGGGTAATTGAGTTCAAACGTGGAACAGAATTGGGACAGAGGACAAAAATATTATGACTTTCCTGTCAACATTCTGGGACATTTGGGAGGTATGCACTATGGGGATGATCCAGCACGTATTTATATGCAATACAGAATCTGATCTTTGATAAAATCAAGCTTATGAGGATGTTACAGCAATTAATATATAAAGGAATTAAACACACAGGCTGCTCTATACTTCTTTGTGCGATGGATGACATTTCACACATATACAGAGCTGATTAATTGTCTAGATTGCTATCTCGCTGAGTACAGAATGGATGCAGCCATGTTATCCTAAATGTCACAAGTGGAATTTTACACCAAAGAATTATGATAAAAGCTAAAAGCACAGATCCCATCGGCCAGGTCTGTGCTGGAATCTTTTAATTTGAGACACAGAATATTTGGGAAGCTTAACCCTGACAATAGTGATCAGACTAATAATTATGTAGACACTGTCAGAGAATGAGTGCACAGCCCTTCCAACAACTCAAATGGACAAAGAGGACACTTTCATTTTAAGGGTGTCAGTGGGATGTAGCCAGGGGTGGGGCTGTTCTGAGATATTTTAGGTGTAACGGACCTCCATTTAAGAATGCTCCTAGTGCTTCCTGAGGACTCCAAGCACTGCAGCAGACACCATAATTGCTGTAGACTCCTCCAAAGAGCAAGGCAGGAACAAGCTCTTACAAGAGTTTAATAGTGAGTTAGCAAGGGAGTATGACAACAATAGCAATCCCTTATAGCAGATTCCCCCAATAAGAGACAGCACTCCAAATTGAGAATGAAGTAGAACTGTCTTAAACATTATTTTACTTGGGCCTAGCCCATATGGTCATTACATTAACATTGCTGTGAAACCTCAATAAAATTACAAACAGTCAAATCATAGCAGACAACATACAGTGAATAATTATAACATAATTACATATTTA